CCCAACCTCAGCCACCCCGTGCGTCAGGCTGTTGTTCTCTCGCAACACGAGAGCCAGCCCCCCCCGCTGTAACTGCTGCGCTGGTAGCACCGGGTCTCATCCGCCGGGAGTCTGGCCTGGGTCAGGCTGACAGTCACTTCCCAGGGAGGAGGCTCTGCGTGCCGAGAACAGCTCTGCCTCGGGGATCGCACAGGCAAGATTTCAGCGGGGGATGGGTGACCGGGGGTGGTCCTTGGGACTGACTGTCCCCGAGCCAGCCCCCCCCGCTGTAACTGCTGCGCTGGTAGCACCGGGTCTCATCCGCCGGGAGTCTGGCCTGGGTCAGGCTGACAGTCACTTCCCAGGGAGGAGGCTCTGCGTGCCGAGAACAGCTCTGCCTCGGGGATCGCACAGGCAAGATTTCAGCGGGGGATGGGTGACCGGGGGTGGTCCTTGGGACTGACTGTCCCCCGTCGTGGGGGTACAATGCCGCCCCCTCCACGCCCGACGCTACTGCACTCGCGCTCTGGTACCTCTGTCACATCACCTACCTTCTGCCCTGGCACCCCCGGTGGACCCGGGCCTCCTCTCTCTCCCGGCGATCCGGAGATGCCAGGGTTGCCGCGAATGCCCTGCAGGCCCTGCACACCCGGAGGCCCCGGGGCCCCCGGCTCCCCCTGTTGTGAAGGAATCACACGCAGGTGTAGTCACAACGTCGTTGTCGCCACCCCTCGCAGGGGGTTGCAAGGGCTTCTCGGCTCCGGGTTTAGCTGGCAACCCACGGAGTGCCCATGCAAGGCAGGGCCCGGGGATACTGGCCAGTGCCAGGCACATGGCCGACGGGCACGTCTCTGTACAATGCTGCCAACGTGACACCCTGCAACACCCCCCATCGCCCCACGCAGCTCCCACCCTGCCCTGCAGCAGCACCCACCGATGGCAGCCCAGATGCCCCACACTGCGTCTTAACCCTGACCTGGGAGCCTAACTAGTACCCACCCCGATTCAGCAGCATCACACTGGCAACAGCAACACAACCCTCCGCTGCCCGCCCCGGAGGAAGCGTCGGATGTGAGCCGGCGCCAGGCAGGAGATGGCTCCCTGGAGCTGTGTGTGGGGAACACATGGGAGGTCTTTCCCACTGGAGCCTCGCCTGGCTTTGGCAGCCCCCCCGGCAAGCCCCAGCAACCCCCCCAGTGGTCGGATTAGCAAGGGGCACAAAAGGATGATGTGTGCACAAAGAGAGACCCCGACCTCTTACCTTATACCCGGGGGGCCCAGCCTGACCAACGGGGCCTCTGAATCCAATTCCTGGCTCTCCCTGGAAACAGAGACAAGAGGGGGAGGTTAAGGACCATCACAAATGCGCCGCCTCCTTTATCACGGGCCCGTCCACATCTGACGTAGTCACGTGCTGCTCACTTAGGCTACGTCGGCGCGGCACATTCATTTCGAAATAACGATTTCGGAAGAGGCGTTGCTTCTCGTAGAATGCGGGTTGCAGATTTCGGAATAAGCCGCCCATTCTTTCGCTCTGATTTAGAAATAACGCGCTTGCCGTGCAGACGTGCGTGCATCGTTATTTTGGAATAACGGTCGTTATTCTGAAATAACGCTGCGGTGCAGATGGACCCTCAAGGCCCAGTCCAGCCCCCCCTGAAGTCAGTACTCCAGGGACAGGATGGATAGAACCCACCCACGATGCCTGATAGATGGAGGACAGACAGGGGTGGGTAACCTGCGGTCCCTGGGCTGTATGCGTCCCATTCTGTTCCAGGAGCCAGGAGCATTCAGCACAATCCATCTTGGGGAAAAGGGGGGCCCAGAGACCCAGTTCGGGGCCCCTGTCCCAGCCCCCTCGGCTCCCTTCTCCCCCAGCCAGCCGAAAAAACTAACTCTCACTCCCAGCAGCTCATCAGCCAGCCCTCTAGGCAGCCCCGCCTCCTGCTTTGTCCTGCTTCTCAATGTAAGGTGTTATCTGCTCTCACCTGGTCCTCAGGATGTGAGAGACGGACATACTTCCACAGTGAGTCCTGTCCAGACTTCCCCTCCGCATCTCTCTCTCTCTCTCTCTCAAACACACACACGAAACTAACTCTCACTCCCAGCAGCTCATCAGCCAGCCCTCTAGGCAGCCCCGCCTCCTGCTTTGTCCTGCTTCTCAATGTAAGGTGTTATCTGCTCTCACCTGGTCCTCAGGATGTGAGAGACGGACATACTTCCACAGTGAGTCCTGTCCAGACTTCCCCTCCGCATCTCTCTCTCTCTCTCTCTCAAACACACACACGCACACAAAGTTACTCCATCATACCCCCTCACCCCCCCCCCCCCGGAATCATGCAGGCTATGTCTAGACTACAAGCCTCTTTTGAAAGAGCGTCTAGACAACAACCAGGACTTTCGAAAAAGCAAGCCACTTTTTCGAAAGAGAGTACCCAGGCAGTCTGGATGCCCTCTTTCGAAAAAGCACAGTTTGCATTACATAGCGCCGTTTTTCGAAAGAGCACTTTTGAAAAAAGGCGTTATTCCTCGTCAAACGAGGTTTTCCGCGGTCGAAAAAAAAACCTGCCGCGTTCTTCCGATTTACTTTCTAAAGAACGCGGCGTCAGTCTAGACACGGGGGAAGTTTTTTCAAAAAAACCCTGTCGTCTAGACACACCCATAAAGGACAACAAAGCAACCAGGGAATGCAAAACCAGAGACTGAACACAGAGCACTACCAGAGTGGGCAAAATCCCCACTACCTCACACAGGGCACGTGGAGTGAAGGGCAGGCGGATCGCTTACAGCGCTGACTGTGAGACCCAGTGCGCTCCCTCTGCAGCCAATCACGGCGCGGCGATGGTGCAATCGGCACACCCCCTCCCCATCCTAGATGTGCAAGCGTGGTGATCAAAACTGCCCTGTCCCCGGAAACCGTCTTGGTTACGACAATCTTGCAGGCCACTGAGATGAAGGAGGCCTGCAAGGCCGCCACATCTGCCACTGAGGGAGGAGAGTTATATGACCCGTGCCCAGAAGGGGAGAACGACAGAGAGACATGGAGCCGCTCTACCCTGGAGAAAACACAGGAGCCAGCGACTGGCAGCGGCTGACTGTCTCCGGTGGCTAGCTCTGTCTACGCGGCCCCGCCGAACACAGCCCCATTGTGCACCGAAAAGAGGCGGGAGGGGCCGGTGGTAGATGCATTGTAAGGGTGTAAGAATAGCAGAGTCCTTGAGCCTGGTCTCCAAGTCCTCTCACCTTCTGGCCATGTTCTCCTCTGTCGCCTTTAATGCCCTAGGAATGAAGAGAAAGTTATAGAGCCCACCTGCAGGCCACGCCCCTCCCCTGCCCAGCCCCTGGCACCCCCTTCCCCACCAGAGCCCTGAACCCCCACCACCCCATAGCCGCAGGAGCTCCAGCTGAGGCACTCTGACCCCCGGCTTGCATGCCCCAGTGTTTAACCACCCTGACAGCTAGGAAATTTCTCCAATGTCCAACCTAAAAATCCCTGGCTGCAATTTAAGCCCATTGCTTCTCGTCCTTTCGTTAGAGGCCAAGGAGAACAACTGTTCTCCCTTCCCCTGTGACACCCTTTTAGATACTTGAAAGCACCTTCTCGATCATCCCTGACTGGTGCCTGTCTAACCTGTTCTTAAATATCTCCAGAGATGGAGATTCCACAGCCTCCCTGGGCAACTTATTCCAGTGTTTAACCACCTTGAAAGTTAGGAAGTTTTTCCTAATGTCCAACCTAAACCTCCCTTGCTGCAGTTTAAGCCCATTGCTTCTTGTTCTATCCCCAGAGGCCAAGGAGAACAATTTCCCCCCCCCTCCCTATGCCCTTCATGTCCCCTCTCAGTCTTCTCTTTTCCAAACTAAACAAGCCCAATTCTTTCAGTCTTCCTTCATGGGTCATGTTTTCTAGACCTTTCATCATTTTTGTTGCTCTTCTCTGGACCCTCTCCAATTTCTCCACATCTTTCTTGAAATGTGGTGCCCAGAACGGGACACGAAACTCCAGCTGAGTCCTAATCAGTGCAGAGTAGAGCGGAAGAATGACTTCTCGTGTCTTGCTCGCAACACTCTTGCTAATGCATACAACACCACTGAAAGGTACCTTTTCTCCTTTGTCTCCCTTGGCTCCAGGAGATCCCTTTTCTCCCTGGAAAGCAAAAAGCCACTTCTTCACTCCTGTGTTCTCACCGCAGTGACTGTGGAGAGCCCTGAATCTGTCCCATTGGCGCCCAGGTGCCACAGTGATGGGCACAATAGAAATACATGGAGTGAGAGAGCAGATGGGGAGGGGGAAGATGTGCTTTCCTCGTGGTGCGGGTGGAAACATGGGAGGTTGGCTGTTATTCTGACACAGGGAGAGGGGCCTGTCTGGGAGAGAACTGGGTGAAATGAGATTTCCCCGGAAATTGCAACCCAAACCGCTTTTGGTCTGCAATTTCCAAAGAAAAATGTTGATTTGGTAGAAATTTCAGTATTGAAACATTCGGGCTGAAAACGGTACTATCTGGATTTGGACACACTGTCATGGTGCCTCATGGGAGTTGTAGTTTGGGGACCTCCCACTGCATTGTGACTTACTGTGGCTGGACCCGGAGCTCACAGCCCTTCTAACCAGCGTACCATCACCTATTTCCCCAGCACGCAGAAAAGGAATGCTGTTTCTCCCGTGTGTACCGGCACCTTTTTTCCTGGGGTGGCTCGTCTCCTGCTGGAAGCTTGCCTGGGATGCAAGGCGGTTTTTTCCCCAGCTCCCAGTGCGGTGTTTTGGCTCTTAAAGGGGCCGCGATTGCATTTCAGCCTCCAACGCGGCTTTTTTTTTTTTTTTTGCTCAACAAGTTTCCCCTTTCTTTGCTCAACAAGTTTGAGCCTGCAGTACCGGCACATTTTTTCGTACAAAAAAAGCACTGCTTCTAACATCCGGAGTGCACTCCACAGACCTTCTGACTCAGGTCGGTGGCTTGAGCTGTGTCCATACCGGGCTTGGAGCCAAGTTGTGGGATCCAGGTCCTGAGTGCTTGCTGAACCAAGTCAGAACCGATTTGTGTGTGGATGGAAGTGAGGCTTGGCCTCAAATCTGTGTCAGAGCCTGGGCTTAGGGGGAACTGTAGCTACACTCTTCAACTCCCTGCTCCTCAGTTGCCTAGCTGTAAAATGGGGATAATGCTACCTCCTTTCTCCCACCTTTCATCAGTATTGTGTATTGAGCCTGGAAACTTCATATGCATGTACAGCACCTTGCACAGGAGAGCCCTGACCTCAGCTGGGGCTTCTAGATGGCACCTTAATACAAATAATAAACAGGAAGAAGAATGGACACCCCACTTTGCTCCGGTGTGAATGACTTTCCAAGACTCCATAGGGAACCATGCTCAATGGGCTGATGATAATTTGGGATCTTAAAAGAACTGAATTTGCCTTTAAATAAAGGCTTTTGAGCTCATCTTTCCAATGGCATCTGATTCCTTGGTCTATGGGGTTGGGGGTTTGTTTGTTTTGTTAAAATGGTAAAGAAAATCTCAGACCTTTTCACCTTGGAATGGCAGCCGCTCTGGATCCAGTGTGTCGGACTCCTGCTTCTGCGAAAAGAAAACAGACCTGACCACACGCCCACACAAGAGATTACGGGCAGAGTGATGACAAAGCAGCTGCAGCTAACACGCACCGAGCTGTAGTCACAGCTCTGTGAAATAAATATATTACCTTAATCCTCCGTGCGCCTTGAGGTCCTGGATATGTCTTGAATATAAAAAAAAAAAAAAAAAGGCAGTTTTCAAAGGAAAGCCTATCGTGGCATGCGAATATTTCATATTTCACAGCTGTTCCATCCATAAGATGCGGAAAAGAACTTTGAACGTGGAGGCACGTTATGTTTCGGCAGGAATCAACAAACATGTAATGGGAGTCCCTGAGCAGCAGCCGTGTCCGATTGAACACGGGTGAACGATGCTAAAGGATTTCATTGAAGCTATTCCAAAACCAGGCTGTGGGCACCGAGAGCAGACTGGAGCCTATCACCTGGTTTTTCAGAGTGATCAAGTGCAGTGAAATGGAAGATCAGTGAAAGGTTAGGATCAACTCATATACTTGGTCATCTGGAGTTCAGGTGACTTCTGCTCCCCATGCACTTGAGAAACACAAGGCTTCAGAGCCCTAAGCCCAATGGTTAGAAAGGCCGTGAGTGCTCAGTTGTGGCCTCGGCACAACTCCCCAAAGGAATGTTAGTGTTCCAAGACAACAACCTAACAAGGAACTTACATAAAAGCAGGAAATGCCTACTTAAGGTTCTTCTTCACACACAGCACAATTGTGTCACCTTAACTCTGCCCCATACGGAGAGCACTAAGATTCTCACCGTACTTTATTCCCCCCTAGCAAAGATTCCCTTTGACTGAAATGCATGGAGTCAAATGTTTGAGTCCATTATGGGAGATGTAGTTTGGAGAGCACTAGGATTCTCACAGTACTTTATTCCCCCCTAGCAAAAATATCTCTGTGCTCATCAGTGATCCTACTTTTGCAGTCTAAGAGGACCCTGAACCAGGTGAGTAGCAGAATCAGGGCTATCTCAGAGAAATGTTTTCTTGTTTAAAAGACCTAGTTTCCACTAGGATTCTTAAGAAAAAAATCATATCAGTCTTAAGTTCTGTTCAAGCTTTTAATAAACCTACTTTTAGGCCAAATTTCACCTGCCCCTTTAAAGGTTACATCCAGCATTCTATGCTCATCAGAACCTGTGATCCAGAGAAGGTCAGAAATGGTCAGAGATTTTTTTGGTTCCACAAGGGCAGATTCCCTCTGACTGAAATGCATGGAGTCAAACGTTTGAGTCCATTATGGGAGATGTAGTTTGGCCAAGGAGCCCAGCCTATCAGGTGGGCGGGGGGGAGGAGGACAAACTACAGTGCCCATGATGCACTGCAGCACCATATGACAATGCATTGAGCCCATTCAAATAGAAATATTTTGACATTTTCCAATTAATTAATTTTCTAGGGTGGGCGGGGGGGTTGCACTACACATTTGGATTACCTGACTGTCCGGCTGTGTCTACACTGGCACTTTTTTCCGGAAATGCTTAAAACGAAACAGTTTTCCGTTATAAGTATTTCCGGAAAAAGAGCGTCTACATTGGCAGGATGCTTTTTCCGGAAAAGCGTCCGTGGCCAATGTAGTGGCGCTTTTCCGGAAAAAAGCCCCGATCGTCATTTTCGCGATCGAGGCTTTTTTCCGGAAAAGACTACTGTGCTGTCTACACTGGCCCTTTTCCGGAACAGTTTTCCGGAAAAAGGACTTTTGCCCGAGCGGGAGCAGCATAGTTTTTCCGGAAAAGCAGCTGATTTCTTACAGTAAATCGTCACTGCTTTTCCGGAAATTCAAGGGGCCAGTGTAGACAGCTCACAGCTTATTCCGGAAAAGCGGCTGCTTTTCCGGAATAAGTGGCCCAGTGTAGACACAGCCTCCCTGTTTGGGACAAATCAAGTTTTTTTGTTCCACAAAAAACTTAGAGCAAGTGTACAAATACCAAGAGTTCTGGCCAGGAAACAGAGGAGACGGGGGCCGCCTCCCCTCACTATTTATTGGCTGTATAAGGGTGAGTGACATGGGGAAGGGGCAGACAGGAGCAAATGGGGGGAGGGTCTGGGGTGGGAGGAAAAGGTGGCACAGTAGAGGAGTAGGGTCTCAAGGGGAGGAGCAGTGTGGGGGCAGGGGCTCTCGGAAAAGGGGCAGTGTGGGAGCAGGGCCATGGGGAAAGGGGCGGAGCTGGGCGGGGTCATGTTTCAGTCCGTGTCCCCCTCCTCCTGCCCCTTTTAGGGACCTGGCTCCGGCAGGACAGAAATCCTGATTTTTGCTCTGCTCTAGGCTGAAGAACTGTCCAGTCTGTCACACGTAACCACCATCCATCCGCGACGTATGATCACGTGTATATTCACAGACCCCTTTGTCGCACACGCAGAACCACCCCAAAGCCGGTCCTTGCCCCCCTGTCACTGAATAACCTGGGTCTCTCTTTTCCTCGCGTTCTTTAAGTAGCGGACACGGCCCTTCCGTGTGTCTAGAGAAGAGCTCTTAGCAGCGCCAAGGGACACTAGTTTGGCTGCTGCTGGGTTATTATTTACAGGGAGCATTTCACCCTCACACTGGGCTCGGAGCTACTTTTAATGAGTGAGGGAGCCGCAAGAGCTGTTACCTCCCATGCCCCTCTCCTAAGCACCCTCCCTGCAGAGGTCCGGCTGTCACTCACCGCATATGCAGCCGGGGATTTCTGGATGCCAGGGGAATGAGGCGAGGGAACCTGTAGACAGGGACAACAAGGAGTCATTGCTACTTCCTCCCAAGCAGTGCGGAGGGCTTGGCACTCATGCCTAACAGACGGGGGGGAACAGGGTCTCTACCATGTGCCTCTGTCTCTCAGCCGTTCTTCTGACTCTAACAGGACTCGTTAACTCAGGGCCGGCAACTGGAACCTGCTTGAAGGAAAACAGCATCTCAGAGCAGCGGTCACCAACCAGTAGATCGCGATCGACTGGGAGATCTTGGAGCCTCTGACAGGTGATCCTGACTAGTTTGGCCAAGAGGCTATTGAGTCCCAGCACTTCAGCTGCCCCTCCCTCCTACTGCTGCGTATCTCCTGCCCTTTGCCTTGGAGCTGCCTCCCCCATCCCTGGGAGCCTCCTGCTGTTCAGGGCAGGGGAGGGAGAAGAGGAGCACGGACGTCAAGCGCTCTCCCACCCTGTATCCTATCTCCACAGAGCAGGGCGGGGGGCACAACAGGACTTGGGAGGGAGTTTGCTGGCTGCTTTTGGGAATGGTGCAGGGCCAGGGGTGAGCCTGCCTTAGCCCCACTGCACCACCACTCAGGAGCCACCTGAGGTCAGCAGGGCCCAGTCAGAGCCCATGTCCTGAAACCCTACCCCAGTCATGAACCCCTTCCTGCCCCTGCCCTAGCCCCAAGCACCCCTGCATCCAAACATCCCCCTAGAACTCCTTCCTGCACCCCAACTGCCTGCCCCAAGATCCGCTCAGAGCCCCTCTTGCGCTCCAGATCCCTTAATTCCAGACTAGAGCCTGCACCCCAACCTGGTGAAAGTGAAGGAGAATGGAGGAGAGAGGGAGGGAGGATGGAGTGAGCAGGGGCGCGGCCTCGGAGAAGGGGCAGGAAGGAGGTGGGGCCAGGGGATTTTGGTTTGAGGTAGATCTTGGATTGCACTTAAATTCAAGAAGTGATCTCATGCGTGAAAAGGTTGGAGACCCCTGCGAGACTCCTGCCTTAGAGCACCAAGGCACCAGTAGGATAATTGGGTAGTTTTGCTCTGTGCCCTTACTGCTGCTTCAAAGAAGCCAAACCATTGCAATTGCTAGAGCCTCACTGAACTGTTCCTTCCACTATAGGATCTGAGGAAGTGGGTCTGGCCCACGAAAGCTCATCACCTAATAAACCATCTTGTTAGTCTTTAAAGTGCTCCATAGTCCTGGTTTTTGTTTCAGCTACCCCAGACTAACACGGCTACATTTCTATCACTATTGAACTGTTCCAGTGTGTCTAGCTACAGTTTGCTTGCTGTGTTGCTCAAGAGACCAGGTAGTGGAGTCTCCATCCCTAGAGATTTTTAAGTCTCAGCTTGACAAAGCCCTGGCTGGGTTGATTTAGTTGGGATTGGTCTTGCCTAGAGCAGGGGGCTGGACTTGATGACCTTCTAAGGTCTCTTCCAGCTCTGTGGTACTACGATACATCCAGGAAGCATGCACCTCTGTGGGACTAGCACATATGCCAACTATGTGTAGGCAACACACAAGCGCTGTGGTGGTCAGTGTACAGCTGAATCTAGGCACTGCACACCTGCTGCGGTGTTCATTGGAGAGGCACGCCAAAATGGCTTAAGCTGCGACCCACAGGTGTTTGTGTAACCACCACCAGGTGGATTTGAACATGAGACCTCTGAAGCAGAGTATAGGAGCCTCTACCCTCTGAGCTAAAAGCCAGCTGGCTCCCAGCTCATGCTGTCGAGGTCTCTTGATCTTAACTGTTGCTGTGGTCTAGGTACCACTTGCATTGCTCAGTAACCAAACTAGGGCTATATCTACACTCGCAGCTTGTGCAAGAACATCTTGCACAAGGGTTCTTGTGCAAGTCTTGCGCAAGAAAACGTCCACACTGCCATGTGCGTGCTGTGCTTTTGTGCAAGAGCGCCCATGGCAGTGTGGACACTCTCTTGCGCAAGAAATCCCTGCTGAGCATCCACACTTCCCTCTTGTGCAAGAGCTCCTGCGCAAGAGGGCTTACACCTGTTAAAAAAGAGCATAGCTCTTGCGCAAGAAGCCCTCTCTTACCACGCCGGACTGTAAATTTCCTTGTGCAAGAGCGGGCGGGCAGTGTGGATGCTCTGCGGATTCTTGCGCAAGAACGGCTGTACTTGCGCAAGAAGCCGCAAGTGTAGACATAGCCTAGGTGTGTGGGTTACATATGCAATGCTCGTGTTTTGGGACATTCTGGGCAGCATACATGTGAGACATATAGGGTAGAAACTGTGCTGTGTCTCCATTTGTGCACCCGGCCAATGAAGCGCCCCGAATTAGGAGCCACGTTTGAAAACAGAAGCTTAAGGGACTTGCCTGAGGTCACATGGGACATCTGTAGCAGAGCACAGCCTAGATCTGCTGGGTTTTGCTACCCACACGCCTTTAACCACATGCCTTTCCTCTCCAGGGAGAGGCACAAAGAAATTCCGAAAATCGGAGGGATCTCTGCCATAAATCTAGTGCCAATTCCTCCTAGAAGTACAGGGGCAATGGATCATGGGATGTGCTCCTGAGCAATTCAATTATCCCTTGGAGAAGAAAGTAGGAAAATCAGGGAAGTGAAATAGAGACAAATATGCCAACAGGAGAGATCCTGGAGTTTTTTCCAAGTTAGTAACTTCTTAAAACCTGCCAACTCCCGTAGCCTGCTTATTCAGAGAACCTAGTGCCAGTGTTACAGTCAGTATCCTCCAAGCCTGTGTGCTTTAGGTGCCCTCTAGTGGTCCCGGAACACCAGCTATTCCCCGTTATTCTGATTTACCGCTGAATAATTTCCGAACTCTCAGGGCAGAGCAGAGCGTTAGGCAGAAGACCGCAGCAGGAAGGCAGGAGAGAAGCTGCAGATCTGGAACGTCTCTGTTCTGAGCAGGGGCGGCTTTCATCCTGATGAGCATCATTGCTGCAAACTACCCGGAACCCAGGCCAGCTGTCGTTGTCGAGATGCACCCCCTAGTTTTCAGCTCAGTGGAAAAGGGCACAGGGAGCGCCTCTCCCAGAATAGTCTAAAATCGCATTTCCCCCTCTATAAGAAACCTCTGGAGGCTTGAAATGGGCAGTGGATTTCCATACGGGGCCTCGCTTTGCCCCATCACTAGCCATGAGGGGCGTGGGACCTTCCACGCTGGGAAGCCAGGAGACTGAGCCAGAGGGACCACGGGTCCTTATGCTCTCCTGCTGGAGGGCTACTGAGCAGAGAACACTGGCTGGTTAGGGTAAGGTCACTCAGGACCACTCGCGCACGACCTCTCGCGCTAGTTCCTTACTGTCGGGCGCAGAGGTGAAAGTAACGCCCATGTCTTACAGGTACTGCAGTACCACCCCCCACAACCCGGAGTGCTGTGGGCAGGGAGTGGAGGGATGGCACTATGACAGTACCTGTTAGAAATGTAAGTGGGGGCTGGCGTGTGGGGGGATCAGGGCAGGGTTTGTGGTGGGTGTAGTTCACAGCGTGGGTCACTCGCTCCTCCACCCCCTTCCCCACCCAGCCAGGAGGAAGAGGAATGAGCTCTTGCTCCTGGAGGGGAAGGGGAAAAGCAAGCAGTGCCCCCATATGAATCTCGGGGGGCGGGCCACGTTAGCCCCCCCGCCCTCCCTAAATGGCACCCTGGAGGGTTCAATGCTGGGGCAGTCCCAGACCGGTGGGGGAGCGCAGCTGCAGCTGGCCCCGTTGACCTGCCTGCCTGCTGCTTAGCGAGAAGCCCCGGGCGCCCAGCTGGGAGTGTGCCGCGCCTCCTCCTGCAGCCGAGAGCCCCAGCCGGCCGGCTCTGTCTTACGGAGCGGCACTCCAGGCACACCGGCTTCCTTGGGGCGGGGGGCTCGCACACCAACAGGCCTGTCCCAGGATCCAAGCAGGGGATGGTGGTTAGGCCTGGGCAGTACGGCAGAGAAATACGGAGGCATGAAATGCCACCCCAGAAGGGGCGAACGCCTCGGCTCACTGGCTCCTCGTTCCTGGCCCTAGAGCCGCACGACATGCACCATGACTGGGCTCAGGTGGGACAAGGGAGACTTGCTGATTTTCAGGCCCGGTGTAAGGTGCCAAACACCTGCCTGTGCGGAGGGCTCGCTCTCTTGGTTTCCTTCTAGTTCCTCCGCTCCCCAGGCCGCTTTCTTCAAGGGCATCAGAAGCTCCCAAGACTCAGTTCCTGGGGAACGATATTCAGACTCTGGATGGAGCCTGGATGAGCATGAAGACAGCAGGTCAGAAGCAGCCCAGTCCAGTGGATGGAAGCCAAGAGAACGTGGAAGCAGAGTTCCGGCGTGCCTAAGCTATGCTCTGACACTGACTTCCCCTGTGGCCTTTGGCAAATCCCTTAGCCCTCCTATGCCTCAATGACTGACCTGTAAAATGCGGATATGGCTTCCCGGTCAGGGATAGCTTGTCAGTACTGCCAAGTGCTTGAAGATGAAGAGCAAGGTAGAGGTCCTCAGCATTGTTCTTGTCCATTTCTCAAAGGCACAGTGCCGTTCAGCCCAAAGGCATTATTTGCGGGTTAGCTCTCCTGTCAGTTGTGACGTGGCGCTGCCAGGATGGAGCCGTGCGGCTCCAGGACCGTCAGAGATCCAGCCAGCTCCTCAGCTGGGGCAAATCAGCGTAGCTCCACTGAAGTCACTGGGGCTGTACCAGTTTCCCCAGCTGACCCCAAATTCCACTATCGCGACACTAAGGTGGCGCCCCTGCCCAGCGATGGACTCCTGCTCCAGGGGCAAGCTTTCCAGGAAGAACGCGGGGGCAGATCTTCTGGGGCTCAACTTCCACAGCGAGGAGCTGAACTCGGCTCCCCTCTGGGCTCCTAAATAAAGCTCGAGGTTTCCAAGCGCTCAGGATCCAGCCGCTCTCACTCCGGGGTGGTGGTGGTGGTACTGCAGTACTTGTAAGAGCATCCAGGACACAGTTTCCATTTCTTCCAGAGCGGCTGAACAACACGCCCAGCATTTGATGTAGATCGGGGCATGCACAGATTCCCACATTAGGGCTGGAAGAGACCTCGGGAGGTCACGGAGTCCAACCCCTTGCTCACACCAGGACCTGCCCCGACTAACTCGTTCAGAGTCAGTGGTCGAGGCTCTGTTCGGACAACGGAGCTAGGCAGGTTATGGAAAGCAACCAAAGGCTGTGGGGAAGACTCCATCTGCCCCTTTGAGAGAGCGCATGTCCATCCTTCACAATTCTTACCGGGGCTGCTTAGCTCCGCAGCTGTCGTGAGATGGGCGACTAGTAGAAGGGACCAGAGCAGACCCGTTAGTCCAAGAAATCATGGCTGTTTTTCCGGAAGGGGGGCCCTTGCGGTTATGAGCTGGGATCGTCTCTCTGTGAGATGAAATTAGGCCCGTTCGCTCTCCATGGGGCCGCCCTTTCCGGAGCGAAATACCGTGCAGAATGAGTCTGCAGGGCAGCTCACCAGCAGCACCAGACACCAGGAATCGAGGCGTCCCCCCTGGCTGCAGTGCCCGTCCGTTTCCCGGGGGAGTCTAAGGTGTTGCTTGTGACCCAGGCCAAGGATAGGCGGACGCACTGTTGTGGTAATCTGGGCCCAAGCCTCACTCCTTCAGGCCCAGTACAAACTGGTAACAAAGGACCCCTCCCACACACGTACCTCAATTTGCAGTCTAGGATGGGCCCCTTGAAACTCCAGACCCTGGTAGAGGGTCCCATGTGGGGGCCTCAACGGTACTTAAAGACCCCAGAGCTGCAGCTGTCAGCCAGGTGTTACAGGGGAGGAGAATAGTTCAATAGCCCATGGCCTTACTCCTTTCTGTGGAACTCCTTGCCACAGGATGTTGTGAAAGCCAGGACTTGAACAGGGTTCATAAAAGAGCTAGATACATTCATGGAAGTTGGTCCATCAGTGGCTATTAGCCAGGATGAGTGGGAATGGTGTCCCTAACCTCTGTTTGTCAAGGCTGGGGTGGGTGACAGGGGAGGGATCCCTTGATGATTCCCTGTTGTGTTCACTCCCTCTGGGGCACTTGGTATTGGCCACTGTCGGCAGACAGGACACTGGGCTAGATGGGCCTTTGGTCCGACCCCGTCTGGCTGTTCCTCATGAATGAAAACGCACGTTTGGCTCGGGCCAAGGAGAGGTCTGTAGTCGGGAAAAGCTTCCCGTGAGACTTCCAGGACATACTACAGACTTGGGATCTCAGAAGTCACAGGCACGTAGGACTGGGAGGGCCGTCGAGAGGTTTTCCAGTCCAGTCCCTGAAAATGAGTCAGGTTTAAGCGTCATCTAGACCCTCCCTGACTGGGGAGATTCCACAGCCTCCCTAGGTAATCTGTCCCAGTAATCTGTCTTCAACTTATTCATAAATGATCTGGAGAAAGGGGTAAGCAGTGAGGTGGTAAAGTTTGCAGATGATACAAAACTGTTTAGGATAGTCAAGACAGAAGCAGACTGTGAGGGACTCCAAGAAGATCTCGCCAAACTGAGTGATTGGGCAAGAAAAGGGCAAATGAAATTTAATGTGGATAAGTGTAAAGTAATGCACATCGGGAAAAATAACCCCAACTATACGTACAGTATGATGGGGGCTAATTTGGCTACGACAAATCAGGAAAGGGATCTTGGAGTTATCGTGGACAGTTCTCTGAAAACTTCCACACAGAGTGCAGCGGCGGTCAAAAAGGCAAATAGGATGCTGGGAATTATTAAGAAAGGGATAGAAAATAAGACCCAGAATATCTTACTGCCCCTGTATAAAACTATGGTACGCCCACATCTTGAATACTGTGTACAGATGTGGTCTCCTCACCTCAAAAAAGATATTTTGGCCTTGGAAAGGGTTCAGAAAAGGGCAACTAAAATGATTAGGGGTTTGGAATGGGTCCCATATGAGGAGAGGTTAAAGCGACTGGGACTTTTCAGTTTAGAAACGAGGAGACTGAGGGGGGATATTATAGAGGTCTATAAAATCATGAGTGGTGTGGAGAGGGCGGATAAAGAAAAGTTCTTTATTAGTTCCCTAAATAGAAGAACTAGAGGACGCCAAATGAAATTAATGGGTAGCAGGTTTAAAACTAATAAAAGAAAGTTCTTCTTCACACAGCGTGTAGTCAACCTGTGGAACTCCTTGCCAGAGGAGGCTGTGAAGGCTAGGACTATAATAGAGTTTAAAGAGAAGCTAGATAATTTCATGGAGGTTAGGTCCATAAAAGGCTATTAAGACAAATTGCTTGATCATTGTCTTCGGTCCACCCTCTCTGGGGCACCTGGTGTTGGCCACTGTCGGTAGACAGGATACTGGGCTAGATGGATCTTTGGTCTGACCCAGTACGGCCGTTCTTATGTTCTTATGTTCTAAGTAATTAAACTGCCCTGGCAAGTTGGAAAGATTTTCCTAATGTCCAACAAAGGGAAAACTTTCTTGTAGATCCCCAACGATCAACACTCACCCCCTGGAGGCAGCTTCCCTTCACCTCAATGTTAGGATCACATGTGGGAAGAGAAGAACAGACACTCAGCGAGGGGGCATTTTTATACCTCTCCACCAAAGCGCTTACTCTGCTCAAGTTTTTCTCCTTCCTCCTCTTCTTCAAGGGCTCTGGGGTTTCCTCAGAAATGCTTCCCAAGGGGCGCGGTTCTGACCCCAGGGCAAGAGCAGCCGGGCTCTGTGGAGACTGAAAAAAATGGATTATTTCCCTTTAAGGCACCAAGTCTCTCCCATGTCACTTTATGTAGAGGAGGGAAACTCCTAATGCACTCTCTCATCCACTCCCCCTTTCCCTTTGTCAGCTGTTCAGTGGCAACATGACGACCTGTGAAACACTATACGCACAACTATGCACAGCCAGAGTGCCAGCCTGCTGAGTGCTCCATTGTAGATCCGCCAGGACACAGCGTTCTCAATCAGAATATTATTTAAAAGCAGCGCACGGGCAGTCGGAGTGGCTCAGGAAGCTGGTTATAGGTTCTGGCTAAGGCTGGGTGGGAATTTTTTGATGCAACATTTTTGGGCCAGAAAACGCCAATTTGTTGAAATTTAAACTTTTCAGGGAACGGGATCGTTTTTGATAAAAGAATTTCCTGGAGAAGTGTGAGGAGCAGGGTGGAATGAAAAGGATTAGAACAGTGGAATTCGGCATGGAATGCAAAGGGTTAAAACAGGACTGGGAGAGGGCAGAGGATGGGAGCCAATTGGGACAGGGCTTGTGGCAGCCAATCAGAGCCCGGCAGGGCTGTATAAAAAGATGGCTGGGAAGGAGGCGCACGCTGTCCAGCTCTGGAAGGAGAGGGACCTAGCTGCCTGCAGGATACCTTGGACAGAGCAGGGCTGAGGAAAACATGGGGAGCTCAGGCCTGAATAAACTGCCGGCTGGGGCCCAATGACAGGGGTCCAGGGAGGTACTAGGGAGGCAAGGAAGCAGCCAGAGCAGCAGGAGGCAGCAGGTCCACACCCCTTTGCCAACGATGAGTGGCCGTTTCAGACTGCAATTTGCCCCGAGGCAGGATGCGTCACCGAGGCAAGGTTGCTAGAGGAGTTTGGGAGGGCAGACCCCCCGACTCTGGGGGTGTTGACACAGGGCAGTACCCTGAGGGAAGGGTGCCATGGTTTGGGAGGGAGGCAGGTCCAGACACGTGGTAGAGAATGGACAAAAAGGTAATAGCAGGTGAGACGCTGCCAGAAGAGGGTGCCTTTAACAGGGTTCAAAAAAGAGCTAGATACATTCATGGAGGTTAGGTCCATCAATAGCTATTAGCCAGGATGGGTAGGAATGGAATCCCTAGCCTCTGTTTGTCTGGAGGTGGGTGACAGGGAGAGGGATCACATTAAGATTCCCTGTTGTGATCCCTCCCTCTGGGGCACCTGGCTTTGGCCACTGTGGGCAGACAGGACACTGGGCTAGATGGACCTTTGGTCTGACCCAGTACGGCCGTTCTTATACCAACCGCCCCAGCGTACCTAGAACGTGCGGGGTGTACGGACTGATCTGTAGCAGCGCTGTGATTGGACGCAGACGGAGTGCCCGGCTTGCACAGTCAATGTGTGCAATCAGCATGCACCTCCCGTCACGTGCCCGTCACTTTAGTAATGCCAGTAGGGAAGGAAAAAAACCCCTATGCGGATAGAAACCAGTGGAATCTGACTGCTTTATGAATGGGAAGTGGTGAACAAAATGTCTTGTGGGTCACACACAGAATCCTAATGGGCCACATGCAGGCCGTAGGCTGCCCACCGCTGGGTGAATGCTCAACTACAGGTCTAGCTTGGGAAAATAAAGCAAGTAGAAGCTGCTAAACATACAAGGGGATTTGAAATGGTACCTCTTGCATCTCCCTTGCTCCTGAGTGCTCCTCCAGAGATCCCTCCCCTTCCTGGCACTCAAGGCTGGCACTTTCGACAGTGTGTGGCTGCCCTGCAGTAAGCTCTTCTCGGCTCGTTTGTACCCGGGTTGCATTCGGCGCTCCAGGGCCGCCTTCCAATTTCTCAGCCTCCATCTGTCTCTGACAGGAGCTCGTCCGGTTTTCCACCTCGAAGTGGTCACCAGGACTGGTGGCTGTTGTCTCATCAGCTCGGGGTTTCTTCTGACCTGTTACATCCTAACAAGACAGAGGCAGAGCGGAAATAAATGTCAGCGTGTGAGCAGAGCCGACCTATCTTCTTCCATGTCTTCCAAAGAGCTGCACTCACGTGGGTCCAGGGACCTGGGACTAGGCGTCAGGAGAGCTGGGGTGTCTTCCCCCCTCAGTTCTGTTGTGTAACCTTGTGTGAGTCACTTCAGTGCTCTGAATGGGACGGGGATTTCACTCCTTTGCGAAGCGCTTTGATGTGGTTGTGCTACAGACGTGCTGACTTATTTTAATAATCCCATGCTGGGATTCCTTTAATGCTGTCTGGCTTTGATACCAGTGTGGTGTCTGAGTACCTCACAATCTTTCATATATTTATCTTAGCCCTGCAAGGCTGGAAAACGCGTTCATCCCTGATTTACAGATGAGGAATTGAAACATAGGGAGGGTGAAACCCAGATTTGTAAACATATTTAGATGTTGCTTTGCCCAACTGTTGCAGTACCTAACTGACTGAGGCGCCTACGTCCCTTCGACCTGCAATGAGACTTTGGCTCCTAAATCAGTTAGACACAGAGTGTAGCAGTGCCTAAATACCTTTAAAAGTCAGGTCCAAAGTGACATGGCAAAGGTTGTACAGGAAGTCAGTAGCAGAGCACAGAACTTGAGTCTCTGGCTAGCATCATACCCAACGGCCCACCCTCTTCTCAGTGATTTCATGAAACAACCAATAACAAACTAAGCTAAAAGCACCAGTGTCAGATTTGAAACAACAACTCAATTTCTATGGGTCTCAGTTAGAAGCATCCCTTCCTGCCACGGAGTTGCTCACAGAGGGGCACCCAGACAGCGAGCGGCTGTTGTTGGCCTTTCATCCAGAGACAATCCAGCCTCACAACGGATTCAGGAAACAGGCAAATGGCAACACCAACGGGAGGGATTTACCAGCGTTCTTTGCATTAAGCCAAACTCTGCCTCCAGTGAAGTCCATTGGATTTGTACCATTCGCTTCAGAGGGAAAATAGGTAAACCAATGCCGGGCTCTTTTGGAAATATTAGTCAAATGGGCACACAGAGGCTAACCGCTGAGTTATCTTCGGAAGGTGCTCAGCTACCACGGCGATGGGCACCGTGCAAGAACGTGAGTCTGTCCTCGAGAAGACAGCTAAGCAGGGGCTACCCGTGAAACCCAGCTGCAAAGAATGAACCGTATTCTGCCTCGGTTTGCTGTTACCTTAGCAGGTGGCCCAGCAGTGCCTGGAACTGTAAGCTGATGCCCAACACCTATACTCAGGTCTTCTTCAGTCACTTCTAGACTGGTCAGAGAGTTGCTAGGAAAATCATACTTCAGCGAAGCCTGTAAATCCCAAGAAAAGTGTTTAGACCCAGTTGAGAGACCGGCGCATGGACCCCCAGTCGGTCAGACAAGACCTTGATCCAGTCCAGGTAGATGAAATTGAGTTCCACGAGACCAGCTGTCTGAAGTTCTTGTAGACGAAGCCTGTGTGAACACATGCACGGCACTCTGGAGGAGAGGAGAGTTTAGTTCCAGCATCACTGGCCAAATATTCCTCTTGGTCCTGCAGATCACCACCTTCCCTCCCCAGAGGCAGCTGCATTTCGTTGCGGCTCCCCACTGATTGTTCTGTGGGTCAGTGGATCCTGACCCAAAAAAGGTTCCCCACACCTGGTGTAGTCATTGCAGCTCCGGCTCTGAAGCCCATCTTCCTCCCTAGGCTTCAGAGTCTGAACGCCTATGCCTAGGTGGCTGTTCCTAGCGCTGTAGCGTGAGCCTTGCAGGTCGGAGCCTGCCAACCTGGGTGCTGTGTAACCACACCCCAAATAGACACAACAACCCCAGACACCACCGGGGCTTTCACATCCATGCTTTGCTTTTATGTGTCAAGAGACAGGCCAGTAGCACTGGGCAAACAGATGTATTTTATTTCAATTGTACACTTTCAATGATGTTTGATTTTAGCCAAACCGTTTTAGTTAAATTGTCTCAACTACACATTGAACTTCTCTAGCCTAGCACACTCTGGCCCGGCAACATCCGTGGTCCGGCCTAGTTAGCCAGATGTCCACTTATCATGGGTGTGGCCAATCTCCCGTGGTCTCATAGGGTGTGTCTAGACTACAAGGCTCAGTCGACGGAGCCATGTAAAGTAGTTTACTTGACATAGTCAATGAAGCGGGAATTATTATTTCACGAGGCATACCGGAGTGGTCAACAAAGGCTTCCCTTGTCGACTGCGCCACATCTAGACTACCGTACTGTGCCGGATCAGCTGATTGCTGGCACAGCGCGGTGGCCATTTTTATTTTAATGAAGCGGGGATTATTTAAATCCCCGCTTCATTGACTATGTCGAGTAAGCTACTTTACATGGCTCCGTCAATGGAGCCAAGTAGTCTAGACGCACCCATAAAGTTTGTTTACAGCCCCCGGTCCTGGCTGTCTTCTGTGCTGTTATTTGGCTCTAATTTACCCCTAAATGTCTTCTAAGAGCCTATTAAGCAGTGGAAGTGTTGGTAGTGGTGTTAGATAATATTGACCTCCCGTGGCCTGGAAAATTCTCTAGTTTGGCCTCACTCAGGTCCTGAGGTTGCCGGATTAGAAAGGTCCAACCTGTAGTATGATTCACCAGCTGCTCTATAAATGTG